TATTCTCCATATCATGCTCCCTATGAGTCTCTCTTTGTTTTGCTGTATCAGCATGTCAATACGCTCAAGCAGTGCGCTCTCACAGTCGATATGCTGCTCTTTTTGCGCCTATGTTGCGACTCCCAGCACTCACCACGCTTTCATTGAACCCCATGATACGCACCGTGCGAACCAGATATCATTTGCCAGTCAGCTCTGGCGCCTTTAGATTGTGTCAGAATATGTATCGTATAGAGAAAAGCCAGGTGCGGAGTCCTACAAGAAAACCGAGCAAAACCAGCGCTTGCCGCTAACAACACTGTACGAACGGTCTTGATGGACGGGCTGGTATCGGCGTGTTCTTCTCGCTTGCAGTTCTTCAGGCTCAGCCTCTTCAAACGGGAAGTCCTACGTGACCAGCGCAGTCAGATGAAGGACGGCAGGACAACTGTGATTTACCTCTGGAGAACGAGCACGATAACCGCCGCGACAACAACCAAAGAGCTATCGTGGTCCTTACGCGTGGCCACTCACTGATCAATAAGAAGCGAGACGTCGACTTTGCCGCAGTGCAAGACGTCTCGACCATACAGGTCACTACCGGGCACACCACATCCATTGACTTGCTTTTGGCTTCTGCATGCTGATTCTTACTATCGAGGTGCTGTGCTACGAGCATATCCTCCTCCAACCGCCGTCGCGATCGTCTCTGCACCTACGCAGAGAGCCGAACTCGTTCCGTTGGCACGCTGCCAACCGATCCTAGACCCGCGCGAGGCAGACACACGAGACTCTCTTGCAAAGACTTTGAGCTCGAGCGCGAAGCTTAGAAGATACACCCACAGTTTAGAGCACTCAAAGAGGTTGCCGTTGAAGTTGGCAAGATTCGCGGATACGTGGAGGAATGCGAGTACACAGGAACTGCTGGGTACATGCACTTAGACGCTGTAGACCTTCTTGGCAGCCAGTGTCTCATGCGCTTGGAGGGATCAAAGGAGGTTCATGCGGAGATGGCGGTGTCTTGAATCGAGTGGGCAAGAACAAGGGCAATCGACATCATAAGTTCTCAAGTAGATCAATAGAAGTGTAAACATCGGTCAAATAACCAAAGCGCTATGCTACAAGAAACGGGTGTATATACACAAAAGAAGCGAAACAGTCGTCGTATCCAACGAACGAACCATCAAAAGGTTATCTCTCTCAGAAGAAGGGTATCCATCAAATCATGTCATCCCCAGCGTGTTTCCTCGACGCTTACAAGAAAGAGCGAGCGTGGCGGCGGGCCTTGGAGGCAGAGCCGCTGGCCTTGCCCTCCAACCAGGTGATGAAGGTGTCGATGGTGAAGCTCTCGGGGAGGGCGTCACCGCCGGTGGAAGGAGCAGCGGAGGGAGTGGCGGAAGGAGCAGTGGAAGGCTCGGCCTCGGGGGTAGCGACGGGGCTGGCGGAGGCAGCGGGGGCGGAAGGGCTGGCGGCGGGTGCAGAGGGGCTGCTGCTGGCGCTGGGAGCAGTGGAAGGAGTGCTGGGCTTGGTGGGAGTGGTGCCGTTGCTGGGAGCGGAGCCAGAGCCGCCGGAGCCGAAGAGAGGAGGACCGGGGACAGTGTAGTCAATGTTGGCGCCGTAGGGGCTGAAGAGGATACCGGGGTCGGTGGGAGTGTAGAGCTCAGTGCCGATGACGCCCTCTGGGGTCTCGGTTCCGGAGCCAGTAACCTCGATGTTCAAGCCTGGAGATTCAATTAGAAATTGGTTCTTCATGTGATTATTGGGGTATTCTTACATTGAGGGTAGTTCTGGGCGCCGTTGACGTCACCACCGCCGTGGAGGGCGATGATCTCGTGGCGGAAGACGTACTTGCCAGCAGCAAGGCTCTCGGGGACAGTGACGGGCCAGGTGTTGTTCTGGCCAATCATCTTGACGGCAGCCCACTCGCCGTTCTCGTAGCCAACACCGTCGATCTTGGTCCACTTGAGCTCCTCCTTCTTGACGGCGGTAACGTCGCCAGTGTAGGGAGCGACGTAGGTGATGACGGGGCCGACGTGGCTCTCGGGCCAGGTGCTCCAGTGGAACTCAACAGTGCCACCAGCGGCGACCTTGGCCATGCTGTCGGAGCTGCCCTCGGGGCTGGCGGCCTTGTGGCAGATGATGTCGGCATCGCCGAAGGAGTTGGGCTCGACGAAGCCGTTGTCGAGGTTCTCGGCGTACCAGCCGATGTGCTCTGGCACCTTGCCGCCGTTCTGCTTGGCGTAGTAGTAGTCGAGGCTGAAGCCCTGCTGGAAGACACCGTCGATGGTGACGCCGTTGACAATGCCGTGGGCAGTGGCGGTGGCAGCGAGAGCCGCGATGGCGCTGAGGGAGGTAACGGTCTTGTACATGTTGACTGATGTAGATGGAGTTCTTCGAAAGAATGGGGTTGGTAGGTTCGATAGAGACGAAAGTTTGAAGTTGTTGAAAGAGTGTCTGCCGGCTTCACACAGTGAAGGACTTGATGAACGAAAGTGAGTTGAAAAGAAGGGACTGGTATAGAACCGAAGATTGAAGCTGTAGCGATGGTGCTTGGAGTGAGGTACCAGGTGCCCTATTTATTCAGTTCAGTCTCTGCTCCTACAAATCCTCGGCATACATCGACCCACATCCTGGGCGACTCGCAAAATGAGAGCCCAGAATGGTGGGTTCATGCCGGGCGCGCAGGACTATGCATCCCGCGTTGTTTGAATCGCCATGTTTCCTGTTGCGGAGAGACAAGCGACATTGTCAGGATGCGCAGGCCGTTTCCTGCCTGCAGCCAAGAGCCATCCCACGCCTCCGGACCAGTTCCAGAATCACTGCGCCTTGCCACAATCCAGTTCTCCATCTCCGGTATGCATCGTACGCAGCGTATTCGTCCTCATGAATCGTTCCGGTCGGCGTTGTTGTGGTTTCGGGTTCGAGCGATAACGTGCAGCGGGGCCGCGCGAAACGTGCATCCCGCGTGTTCCTGGATTCGCCCTTGCATACTGGCGCCGCCAAGAGCTTAGTTGTTTCTGTCAAACGAGGTGCCGAGAGCGCCCCATTTTGTGGCGCCTGTCAGATGTCTAGATCCGATCGTGCTGGGTTGGTAGATGTCGTGTTGATGAACGGTAGGGTTGGTGTTCATGCCTGGAAGGCGGGCGTGAAAGGTACGTCAGTAAGACGGTCCGGTTGCCGAACCCAGCTGCCGTGACCTCATCATGTCATCCCATCTCCAAGACACTCCGACCGACCGAATTTGGTCGCATGCAACACCAAGCTTCCTTCGATCCTGCACAATATCCACACCGATGTAGTCGACTCGTCAACGTCGCGCGCGCAACCGTTATGCACCCCTGACAGCGTAACCGATCCTTGGGGCCCACCACCGAACTTCGCGTGTGCAGCCTGGTTTCAGACGTGAAACGGCCAATATTGCCCCCAATGGTAGTGGACGGAGATGCGCCTAGATCGAGGCAGGCGTGTTTGACGACATCGTCGTCGATATTAATCAAGTCGGGTATTCGGGGGCGGCGCTTCTTGGACGGCTGGCGGTGCAACTGCATGTCATGCGCGGCGCCGTCGACTTTAACATCTTTCTACCTCTGTCTTTAACCGTTCTGCCTTTTAGGCTGTCGATGTATATGGTGTGGGCCTGAGGCTGTTTCTTCTTCTCTATGTCTCAAACGTAGCTCGTGATGAACATCCACAGCAGGTTGGTATGGCGGAGTGCCGTCTCTCATCTATTCCAGTGCGTACCTTTCAATCAGTCTCATAGTGTGCTGCAGCCGGAGTCTACCTGGCCCTTTTCAAGCTGTTATACTGCGTTTCTGTTTCTGGGGCGTAGGCCCTATCTCCACCGCACATATTGCCAATACTCGTCTTCAGTCCTCCTTGTTTACATCAAGCTAGGTTTTTTGCAACTGTCCGTCAATGTATCGCCCTTCAAAGACCTCCCTCCCGGGTATGTTATTTCGTCGTTGTTTTCAAGGTGCTGGTATGACGTAGTCGCAATGTGCCGTCTAGCAACACCAAAACACCGCACTGAGCAGCCAGCATCTCAGTATCTCAGCATAGCATGCACATCCAGGCACCGTCGTTACAATCTACCAGTCACCGCAAAACTCCTCGAGTACCTCCACGCAATCTCATCGCACTGCTGTCCCTCAAGTCAAAATACAATGTGCCCTCCCCGCCGCTCTCACTTATGGCACATATGCCGCGTAAACCCTCTGTATTCCATCAAAACAACTCAACCCGAGTCTCTTAGTGGAGTGGTAACACGTTCACCAACAGTTCCTGTGAGTACAGAGTGTCAGTTGACGCTGGCACCATCAGTGTCCCGGTCACTTGACTGGTGATAGCTGTGCTTTGCAGTGTTTGTGAGAGACGCTTGTTCGACTCAAGCAGAGACCAAGTATATCATCTTTTTTTGCTAGATTCAAGTACGTACGCAAGATAAGGTGAAGGCCAACTGCGTTTGCATGAGCGTGCCGCCCCAATTGTGATTTTCGCTGGCGGCTTGTTTGGGGTGAAGGACAGTGCTTTTTTTTACCCACCTTGTCTTCAGTTTTCCACACCACTGTAATAATTCTATATGTATTATGGAGCCGGCTCTCTCTTCATCAAAACACACCAGGCTTCTTGGTCTAATGGTATGACGACACAGACCGACAGGTTCTCCGTCAAGGTCATTTGTATAGTATGTGTATTGAAGGTAACTTCGGACCTGCTTTGAATGCCATCGTGACGCGCCCTACTTGTGTAGATCAAGGTTCGATTCCTTGAGAAGCTATCATTTTTTGCTTGTGTAGACATTCCAGATCATGTCTACATCGGCTCTTTTTTTGTTCAAGGTCTAGGCAACTTTCTCTTTTGAGGGATACGACAGCGATAGAGGGTGAGTATCTACAACCCACGACGTCAATGTAGACCCTACGGCCCTTTATACCTTGCTGTTGCGCTGGTTGTGTTCTTTTTGTATCCTGTAAAGCTTGTTGTGGTATGGCACGCGTTGACTGAAAAGTATACGTAAGCGGCTACTCCAACCACGCCTGCAGACCGCCAACCAGCAAAACTGCAATACCCAACACCCACTGCGCAACCCCAAAGGCACCCTGTACGTCGCCCTTCCTGACCGTCCACAGAATCGCGAACACCGCACTACCCAAGCCGCAGACACCCATCGTCACTGCCCACACGCGCTGCGCAAGGAACCCCTCCACGAGATGAACGCCCCAGCCCATACCAAACTCCAATCGCTGCCTCCGCTTCGGACTGCGAAGATACGTAATCAGCTCGCCCTCATAGTCTTGCGGGTGCTTGAACAAATGGAGGAGATATGTGCTACCAACAGGCGGCAGGAGGTCGTTGGGCTCGAAGGTGTACGGATGCTGAGACGGCGCTGCAGACTTCTCTGGTTCGCTGGTCGATGCTGAAGAGGCAGCCGACTTGGGCGGCATTGACGGCGTCGCACGTATATCCGCGAATCGATTGCGATGGACTTCGAATTGAACAAACTCGATAGTCGTCAGCCCGCGAAGACGAGCCCAGTTGAACCACCGTCGATTGAGCTGGTCATAGTGCTCTCGCAGTGCGAGCGCTAGATCTTTGTCGCTTCTCACGCGCCCTTCGTTGACGTCGAGATGAACGATCTTGGGTGTCAGGCGGCCCTCATTTGCGCAAGTCAGGAGCCAGGATTCTTGGACGAAGGACGGCATACGGACACTAAAGGGGTTGCTGGCGACGGTACGCGACGGGCTATACTTCGAAGGGTCGCTGCTTCTATTCCAAGAGCTAGGCCCACCGTATGTCGACGATGGCGTAGTCAACGTGGACGCTCTGCTAGACGAGTCAAAGATGGAGGCCATCGATGATGCCGTGCTGCTTTGGCTGGTAGGACTATGCGGTGTATGGGCTCTTGGACGATTGAGATAAGCTTCAAGAAGGCGGGCAGCGTTGGGTCGCTGTTCGATAAAGTCGTCATACAATGGGTCACCACATGACTTCATCTTGTTAGCACCGTCCATAGAAAGAGTATGCTGAGTTACTGACGCAAGTCCATCGCACACGAACATGCCCCTGCGGCACGGGCGGTTCAGTACCGAATGTATCACGAAGCAATCGGAAACCTTCATGTGCTTTGTCTGAAAAGGCACTCAAGGCAAGACCCCAGTACCTCAATGTTGTGTTTCGACCCTCGGGAGATGCCATCCGTATTTCTGCTTCCGGAGGTAGCGGTATCTCGCCAACATGATCGTCAATGAATGATTCGACAATGGTGGGCACTACAGGCTTTTCGAATCTATCATCAAGATCCTCATTCCCTGACTCAACTTGATCTAAAGCTCTTCTTAGCGCTTCACGGAGCTCATCTGCGCGACTCGCTCCTGCCGACTGGGGTGATAGCAGTGCATTGGCGTCCTCGGTATCGATTGACGAAGAAGAGGATGATGCGTTCTTTCGTATCCTAGGTGATCTCTTGCGGCGCGTCGCTGGCGACACATGAGCTGACTTGGTCTGAGATACGTCGGTGTTCAACCGTAAGCCATGTTTGGGTCTGGAAGGAATGTGCAGATCGTCCGCTGATGCATGACGGACATGCCGCGGTTTGGCCGCACTTGTATCTCGCATCGATTGTGACCAGGTGGCATACTCTTCTGCCAGTAGATTAATTTCCGTCAATTTTCGAGACACGGGACGGATGCGCTGACGCAAAGTAGTCGAGTTCACCAAATCCTCCACAACTTGATTATCGGGTGCAAAAGCTGTCGCTCCTACGCGACGCTTGACAGATTTGTGAGCATCTGATCGCTTGAGGTCCAGGGTTGATCCACGACTCTTTACTCGGGGACGCGTCCTCTTCTCGACACGCTTTCTGACGGGTCCAACGAGTGACAGACCGCGAGTTGGCGTTTTAATGATACTGGAGACCGAAGCCGAGCGAGTGGGAAACAGCGATGGGGCCTGGGATGACGGTTCTACTTCAGTCTGGTCTTCATCAATACGGTCGTGTATCGAGCGAATGTCTGGTATCAGTGTCTCAACATCACTGAATCCGTCCTCTGCAATCGAAGTCCTGGCCAAACTATGATGCGACAGATGATTCCTTGGCCGGATCGCAGAGGGCAACGACCGTTCAATGCCAGATGTGTTGGAAGTTCCGATCTCGAAGATATCGTCGCGACCCAAAAGACTGTCGGTACTTGACGCAACAGCTGAAGGGGGAGAGTACAGCTCCGCAGGCAGAGCCGCCGAGTCAAGCTCTGGAGTCGCAAATACCCGTTCTGAGCCAATCGCTTGACCCAAATCAACTTCGGCAATCTCGTTTGAATCGGTTGAGCCTTTCAACAAGCGCACCACGTAGCCCTTTCCTTTCTTCTTGATCCTGGCCTTGATGTCGGTAAGTCGTTTGGATTGGGTGGAAGCCGTTGAGTCGCTCCGCGAGAAGGACACATTCCAGTCCGGCACTACCTTTTTGAGAAAATCAGGAGGCACATTGTCCAGATCGGCCCAGCCTTGCCTGTCGTGGAGAGGAGTGCTTGGCGGACTCGTCTTTTGGGGAACTGAGCTCTCGACACTAGACTTGAAGCCATCGCGTAGAGTCGTAGACGCGGCAACATTAGGTGCACAACTCAGAGGCATACCGATCGACGGTTGTTGTTTCGGGCCCAGGTTGAAGACGAGCTGAAATTGGCCAGGATTGCGTGCATCTTCTTGGAGATTGAGAGTGAACGGCACCGATTGCGTCTTCTCGTATTGTGGAAGAGGCGTTTCGCGCCCCGCGTCAGACGTCTTTGGATCATTGCTCATCGGGTGTTGTTGATTGAAGCGCAAAGGCACAGGAGAAGCGATTGAAGAAGCCTATCGCGATGCGAGAGTCAGCCACCAAGACCGTCATATGTCCACTTAAGCCTTGCGATGACAAAGGGTTGCCCCGCCTGAAGCCTGAGCGGCATAGAAGACTTACCATGTTCGCATGATGTTCACGCCGCGATGCAGGAACAATCGCCTGAGGGACACAGAGAGGGGCGACATCTTGCTGATTTTGACCGGTCCAGGCTGCAGTCAGCTGTAGATTCGACGAACCGGAGATGACTGCTGCGGTCGTTCCTGCACTGCCACCACTGCTGCAGAGCGATCAACGAGGCTGTCGTGCCGGCCCGCTGATTGGCGAACTTCATCAGCCGAACGCAGCCAGCATCACATGCGTGGGTTGCCTCATCTCTATCTGTCTTCTTAACTCTGCCTTACCCGCTGAAGCTTGGATGTACGATTGCGCAGCCTCGACAAATTGTAGTACCTGCTCCTCGCCACCAGACGCGTCGCCGGTGTCGTCTTTCTGTGCAAACCTCCTATGCGTCACGCTCTGACACGCCGCCGGAACTCAACAAACCTGTCCAATCGTGTACCAGACGAGATGCGCATCGCATGATTGCTGAATAGAATGCGCAGTCCGCATCGATGATGTTGAGATAGACTTCGTGGCTCGAGGTAGCGAGCTGTCGCGTTCCATGGCACCCGGGGACGCGCCTTCCCGCTGCCAATGCTGTGCGTCATGCCACACCCATCTTCCACTTCCAGCCCCCTCCGACATATACATACACCACCACAACACGACTTCGGCATACCTCCGATTTCCAAGATCTTGGCCATGATGCTCCGGAGAGACTCTCGTCACATGCTCTCATCATTCTTCCGGACCAATCTGTTCAGAGTTCTTCCTCCGCGCCTCGGCACATTCGATGACTAGGCATTAGCTAAGTTAGCTAAGGCTTGCTCGGTGTATAAACTACCGCTTTCCCCGCAAGACACGAAGATCCTTGTTCCCCACAATTACTCCGGACAGCGGTCTCCAGATTCCCGCCATTGAACGACGTGTTTTTTGCGGAGAGCAAGGATGCTTGCCATGTGTGGCAGGGCGACATGACGTTAAACGGGCAGACTCCGAGAACTACCTCGCACCACCGACCGGGAACAGAGTATCGATCACATGGTAGTATGGTAGATCCCGGTTGACTGGCCGGTAGAGTTGCATTGGCATTTGTTTATATACTTTGTTGATGCCGGCTGCGATTTTGGCTTCATCTTGCACATCTCTCAAGCCTTCAAGATGCGTCTCTCTACCCTCTTCCTGTCGCTCATCAGCGTCGCTACGACCGTTTCTGCGCACCCCAAGAAGGCGGCACAGCCTACCTTCTCTCGCAATGTGATCTTCTCACCACCCAGGGACGCCAACTGGACCGACCCCGGTGTCCTTTATGCACGTAGTGCCCAGCTCGCTGACGGTTCGCTCCTCGCAACCTGGGAGAACTACTCGCCAGAGCCACCGAAGGTCTACTTCCCCATCTTCAAGTCATCCGACGGCGGAAAGTCATGGAAAGAGTTCTCGCGCGTGCAAGACACAAAGAACGGCCTCGGTCTGCGCTACCAGCCATTCCTCTACGTACTTCCTGAGGCGATTGGTGGCTACAAGGCCGGCACCGTCCTCATCTCTGGTTCTTCCATCCCCACCGATCTCTCAACCACCGACATCGTTCTCTACGCCTCCAAGGACAGCGGCAAGACCTGGGAGTTCGTCTCTTCCATCGCCAAAGGTGGCGAGGCTCGTCCCAACAACGGCCTCACTCCCGTCTGGGAGCCTTTCCTGATGATGAACAAGAAGACTCTCATTTGCTACTACTCTGACCAGCGCGAAAACGCCACCTACGGCCAGAAGATGGTTCACCAGACCACCACCGACCTCAAGACTTGGGGCGCAGTCATTGACGATGTCACCTACCCCACCTACACCGACCGTCCTGGTATGCCCACAGTCGCCAAGCTCCCCAACGGAAAGTATATCATGACTTACGAGTACGGTGGCGGACCTGCCATCACCACCTCATACCAGTTCCCTGTCTACTACAAGATCGTGTCCGACCCTGAGAAGTTCGGCGAGGCCACCGGTATCAGTCTCAAGTCGACTGACGGTACCATCCCCACTGGCTCTCCATACGTCGTCTGGAGTTCTGCTGGCGGCAAGAACGGAACCATAATTGCCAGCGCACACAGCAACTCGGAGGTGTTCATTAACAAGGGTCTTGGAGAGGGTCCCTGGGTCAAGGTTGCTACTCCGGAAGCAACCTCTTACACCAGGCATCTTCGCGTCCTCAAGGACCAGTCTAAGTTGTTGATTATGGGTGGTGGAGAGCTACCTCCTGCTAGCAACAACTCAGTTACTGTTACTGTTGTTGATATCAGCAAGTGGTAGATTAAATGTAGTAACATTAAAGTAAAAATAGTATCAATACAATACACATGGAAATACCATTCTTCCGTATGATGTACACCTGTACCCTAAGCTGTGCGATGACTCCGCCAACAATGATTTGAAGATACTGAAGCATACAAGTCTACTGTCTTCCGTCTAAAATACATGTCTCAGCGCTGGCGCGCGACTTCGGAAGAGTTCTAATGTCCACTACGCAGAGGGTAATACTTGAATAACGACCGACGTACGAATGTGTTCCTGTTGAACGCATTGGCTAGTCCTTGCCAGTATCGAATGAAACCGTGTTGTAGTATCAACTATGTGAATCCGGGGTGGCCTGTGAAGCACGCATGTTCGAGATCAGCGATACCTATCGCTTTCGCGCGACGCCCAAGAAGCGTCTGTAAGGTGATGTCCAACTACACAACAGAGCAATGACGATGTTCGCGTGTCGATGTTCGTAGGCTGCAGGCTTGGAAAGAGTGATGGTTCGCGCCCCCCACCTAGCGCCCCACTAGCGCCGGGCCGACCATTTTTCCTAAGCGAGCCACCGTGGGTCGCTGAATTTGGCTCTCGCGATATCTTCGAACGCCGCAGCATTCAACGACAAGCCCACGGAACCGCCTCTCTCCACCCCTCAATCTCAAACCAATACCGCAATCATGCCCGGAGTTTCCGTCAAGGACATCGAGTCCCACAAGTTCGTGGCCGCCTATGCCGCCTTCTTGAAGCGCCAGGGAAAGCTTCCCATGTAAGTTTTACCTTTGCGCAAGATCACGAGAGACAAGAATGCTAACGCTACGTCAGTCCAGGTTCGTCTCTATCCAGCGGGTGAAGGATGAAGCCTGAATCCCGTAAATGGGGGATAACCTCAGTTCGCTGACCACTTATCTACAGGCTGGGTTGACACTGTCAAGACAAGCCGTAAGAATCAAATCTCCCCACCCGTGCGAGAAACTTCGACTAACATGCGCAGACTCCAACGAGCTTCCTCCCCAGGACATTGACTGGTTCTACGTTCGCGCCGCCGCTGTCGCCCGCCACGTCTACATGGTATGCAGAATGCCCACTACAACGAACACATGAAGGGCCAGAATGCTGATGAAATGCACAGCGCAAGACCGTTGGCGTCGGCCGCCTCCGCAAGGTCCACGGCTCAACCAAGAACCGAGGTTCGCGCCCCTCCCACCACGTCGACGCCTCTGGCTCCGTCGACCGCAAGGTCATGCAGGCTCTCGAGAAGATCGGTGTGCTCGAGCAGGACGAGGACAAGGGTGGCCGCCGCATCACACAGTCCGGCCAGCGTGACTTGGACCGTATCGCGCAGACCACTCTCGAGGCTGAGGAGGAGGAGGATGACGAGTAGATTTTCACCTTCTACGCGGAGTATGTGTAAAAGAGCTGTCTAGCATTTGATTGCGGGGCGGCATTACGGATCTACCACGGTTTACGGCTTATGGCGTTGAAAGACATGATTGAGTCGGGCCTGCTTTTAGCCTAGGACTTCCAATGACACTGGGCTTGGGCCTCAAAAGCAACATGATACCCTCTACTTCGACATCCGTGCAAATCGTTCCTGGTACTGTGATTCCGCCGTTGCTATGATCTCGCTCTCTCGTTGAAGTTCGTGCGCGCTTGACCATGTCATGTCAGGAACATACATTGCACATGGTCTTAACATATCGTGCACATGCCAATCCAATGTCAATATTTGCAATATGGACTCCTCCATATACTCCTGGTGCTCCTTTCAAAACAGATCCGTCATAGCCCCGTGGCTGGCATCCCCAACCAACCTCGCATACTTCGCCAGCACGCCCCTCGTAACCGGCATACTAGGCGCCACCCACTCCCTCAACCGCCTATCAATCTCCTCCTGCGGCACATCCATATCAATACGGTTCTTCTCCGCGTCAATCGTAATCATGTCGCCGTTCTGCACGACCGCAATGGGTCCACCAACCGCAGCCTCAGGACAGATATGGCCAACGATGAAACCATGAGAGGCGCCAGAGTAGCGTCCATCAGTGATGAGGGCTACGTTGGTCAGTTTGGCACCCATGATGGCGGCGGAGGCTTTGAGTTGTTCGGGCATTCCAGGACCGCCTTTGGGGCCTTCGTAGCGGACGACTACGACGACGTTTTCGCCATGCGGGATCTGGCCTAGGTTGAGGGCGCGGTCGAGCTCGTGTTCCTTGTTGAAGACGATGGCTTTGCCGGTGAAGATCAGACCTTCTTTACCCGTGATCTTTGCGACAGCACCCGAGGGCGCGAGGTTACCGCGTAGGATCTCGATGTGGCCGGTAGGTTTTATGGGGTTGGACAGGGGCCGGATGAGGACTTGGTCTTGTGGCAGGGACGGGTAGGATTCGATGTTTTCGGCTAGGGTTTTGCCTGTCACGGTTGGGATGCTGCCGTCGAGGAGATTGGCTGCTACGAGCAGTTTCATTACGGACGGCATGCCGCCGATGTCGAAGAGGTCGGCGGCCATGTACTTTCCTGATGGCGCGAGGTCGGCGAGGAAGGGGATCTTGTTGGAGACGCGCTGGAAATCGTCGAGGGTCAGGGGGACGCCTGCTGTGCCTGCCATGGCGAGGAGATGTAGCACGGCGTTTGTGGATCCGCCTAGTACCATCATCATGACGAGCGCGTTCTCGAAGGAAGCTTTTGTGAGGAGCTTCCGGGGTGTGATGTTCTTCTCCATGCAGACTCGTATCGCAGCGGCGGCTTTGGCGCATTCGCGCATCTTGGCGGGTGAAGTTGCAGGCGTAGTGGAAGAGTTGGGGAGAGTCAGTCCCATTGCTTCGATCGAGGTACTCATCGTGTTGGCCGTGTACATTCCTCCACAAGCACCAGCTCCTGGGCAAGCATTCCGTTCGATATCCTCCATGATCTCATCTGGCGAGAACTTGCCCTCTGAAGCACTCTTCAGGTTCTTGTATATGTACGCGCCGTGGCTTTCGTAGCAGGTCGAGATGTTGATGGGCTTCTTCAGCGTCTCGGAGTATCCTGGCATTATCGAGCCGCCGTAGACCATGAGTGAGGGACGGTTGTGTCGCGCGAATGCCATGATGACTCCGGGCATGTTCTTGTCGCATCCGGGGATGGCTATGCAGGCGTCGTGGTGCTGGGCGCATGTGACGGTTTCGATGCTGTCGGCAATGACTTCGCGGGTCTGGAGGGAGAAGCGCATTCCTAGATATGTTAGACTGTGTAAAGGTTTGAAAGAGCGAGATCGTACCCTCTCCACCCATTGTGATTCCATCAGATACACCAATCGTGTTGTACTGCCATGCCAGCATGTTGTCGTTCAAGACGTGCTTCTTGATTTCCTTCCCGAGATCCAGCACTACCCATTGTCAGTATCCTACGTCGAGACTATATTGGCGTATATCGCAGCATTCGCATGGGTCACTCACAGTGCATGCTGCATTATCGTCAGTATTATGACAACAAATCCAAAGAGTATACTGACTTGCAAGGGTTGCCCTCCCACCAGACGCTCGCAATTCCCACGTGGGGCTGCGTCTTCATTGCTTCCCGTGATGGTACACCAGCTGCGTATAGCATTGCCTATGCGACAGAAACCGTTAGTGATTGAAGTCCTTCAATCGTCGTGGCACCGGGTAGCGAACCTGGGCTCCGGGGAAGTTGTGACCGGTTGTGAGGGTAGATGAGTATTTGTTGAGCGCTGGCTTGCCATCCTCGAGCTTCGCATCATCGGGAAGATGTGGAAAGCTGAGGAAGCGCGGCTCTTCTGGCTCACGCTGCTTCTGGAGGTTGCGCGGGTCCATGGCGTGCTGCTTGTAGGGTGGTGATTGATAAGAAAGTCAGTGCAATTGGAGAGTAGAGAGGGATGCACAGGCAGCTCAAGAAGGAGTCAGAGAGGCAAAGGTAAAGTTGAGTCAATGGACGAAGTAGTGAGAGATACGGAGATAACTAGCAGTTACCGTGTATACCCAGGTACTCCCGTAGCAGGGATCTACACATTCGTCGGCTGCCCTAGTGACGAAGGAGCAATCCGAATGCTCGCAGCGACGTCTGTGTGGGGCGTCGACAGCCCTTCGTCACGTTGCGCTGGAGCCAACGTTCGGAACGATGGAGGGGTCCGTCGGATGAGAACATGGTAGACGCGTGAGTTTGACACGCTGCCATTGACCAATGCGACGGGCCTGATTGAAAGCCGATTATGACGATTCGAGGCCATCTAGCGCCGTGTGGTGTGGTTTGGTCTGGGGAATTTACTTTGGTCGCGGCCAAATCCGGTGTGTGTCGGCGCAACTACCGGCGTGGCTTCGGCTTGACCACATGCGGCGCCTGCAACGGCGAAGTCGCTCGCGGGGTGGTTCTGGAAAGACGCCAGATCGCGCTGGGAATGGCGGGAGCCTCTCGCATGCATCCTGCGAGCATGGCGCTTTGCATGGCCGTCGCAGCACGCAAGGCTGCATGTCGGCTATGTATTCATCTGTCCATGTCGTACCGCGACGGCCAGGTAAGTCGATCTGACCCGAGTACCGGGTCGTTCCCAGTACATGTACTGTACTGCATTCTGCCTTGGGCTGGGGGAACTGACGACGAAGAGCACACGTCGCTGGTGTATCGGGCTGGCGTCGCACCGGAAGATCCGGATCACAGGAAAAGCACGCGCAAATTGGCAGCAGGTCTCAACAAGACGGGGAGATGGGAGGACTAAGTATCGTTCTCCATAGAGTTCGCAGTGATGATGGTCAGGGGAAGGCCGTTGGAAAAGGCTCGAGCATCCCTGCCAAGTTCCCACGATGGACGTGGAAACGCCGCTTCCGAAGCCTGGCAGCAGCCCAACCCAACGTCATACCGCCCATGCGCCCATCACAAACCTCTCTACTAAGCAATTTCCATATCGCAAACACTCCCACGCCAGTCCCTGCCGAGTTGGGGGTTGCAAAGCACTATCGCACAAAGCAAAACCGCTCGCTGCCGCTTTATCTCTCCATATCGCTGTGTCAGGATGATATCCTCGTCAGATATCGATCGCGCCTTCAGATCCCAGATTAAGGAATATCCTTCGTAGCCGCGCATTCGCCGTTGCCAAACGTGCGCAAGGTTTCCAATAAGAGACGCCCTCAGCACCGGCTCTTTCTCTCCAGCGATCCGGGCACGAGAGGCACCATCTGATTCCATTGGCTGCCGCCCAGTGCTCGTCACCGTCCCGCACGCCGGCAACCCGAACGCCCCGTCGCATATACTTTCAGCATTCCAGCACGAAAAGGGACATGGAGCCTCATTCGCGACCTGGCTTGTTCCGCAATGGCACGTTGCGTCTTCCACAGGCTCCCCTCGCTGCCTCACCCAGCGACCCAGTGACACAGACCGCTTCAGACCTTAATCTCTGGTATGGGCTCAGTATAAAGCAATCCGCCCTCCGTCTGCTCCGGCTTCTCAACCCATTCGTAGTTAGCGGAGACCGGTTGACTCTGACTTTTGTGGGCATGCTCCAACTGACAGCCTTGTGTGGGTTTGGATCTGTACTCTGGTATAGGAGTAAGGGAAACAAGGGAACCGCCATCAACACCCAACATGTATCTGATACCGCGGCTGGTGAGTGTTCTGCCTAGCGACACACGTGTGTCATTCATCACGTGGCCTAGCTGGCGATCCTCTAGCCTTGTTTTACTAATCCTCCGCAGATGAAGCCGCTGGTACAGACCCAGGCCTGTTGAAGAAGTACTCCACCGTTCGCTCCTACACTGTCCCGTCAACTGGATTCGTCTACCCCAGGCTCCGGACCTTTTACCGCCCACATCACCAAGAGGACAAACTCCCCAAGGATCCATGTCCTGTTCCACTACTGGTGTTCATTCATGGCCTCGGGGGCTCTATCGCTCAATTCAGTCCCATCCTTATCAGTCTTTCCAATCTTGCCCCTTGTCTGGCCGTCGACCTCCCTGGATGCGGTGTATCAAGCTTCGAGCCAAAGACATGGGGCGCCTACACCACGGAAGCCCTGGTGCAGCTTCTCGCCGTCGTTATCGAAGCACATCGTGGAGTCAATGATGGACAGCCTATCGTTCTTGTTGGCCACAGCATGGGATGTTCACTTGCTGCGCTCCTGGCTTCTCCAACTTCACCACACGCACATCTCCTATCGCAGCATGTCAGCGGCTTGATTGCCATCTGCCCCAAAGCTGAACCTCCTACTGAAGAAGAAGTCAAGAAGCTACGCTCTGTCACATTGATGCCTGCCGCTCTTTTCGATCTGATTAGACGTTGGGATAGAAGAGGAGGTGTCAACAGCAAGAGCGTGCTACGCATGGCAGGAGTGGATTCTGACGACGAGACGAAGAAGCTACAATTGCGCTTCAACAAGCAGAGCCGGAGTGCTGTGTGGTTGAGGATGGCCCGTGGAATGTGTCCCGACTACTCCAGTGGCTCGCCGGTAGGGGGTCTCCCAGGGAAGGAGGTCTGGGAAGGACTGAACATTCCGGTGTTTCTTGCTGCTGGTGAGACTGACACAGTCACTCCTGCGTCGAACGTCAAGCAGATTGTCGAATTTCTAGGAAGAGATGTTAGCGCGATCCAGCCACCGAGCGAGATGGCGAGCCTACCCATTGCAGCAGCCCCCTTCGTACCCTCCGCGGTCCTCCCTGACAACGACAACCCGGGACGTACAGAGCACCAAGATTCCGGTATCGATGTCGAGGACCTACCAAAATTAGAAGACGACACCAAGACCATCGAATCAACCGCTATATCCACCACGGACGTCAGCGTCTCTTCCACCTCAGAAACAACAGAAGGCAGCGTAATCACCACCGACGGCCCCCTCCTTTCCGCCACCACAACCCCCATAACCCCCACCACCCACACGCCCTCCCCGCACCCCCGCCGCCTCGTCGTCAAAACCGCCATAATGCCCAAACCAGCCGCACACTCGCTCCTCTTCGCGCCCTCCACCTCGCGCATAATCGCGGGCCTAATCAACACCTTCTTCATCGACTACATCGACCCACGCCTCTCTCTGGCATGGCAACTCTCCTACCTCTCCACAGAAGGCAAATGGGACGTCAAGAACCTCGCAAAATGGAAAGCCGTGCCCCCCGTCTCCGCACCCATCGCCGGCGTCTTCCGCGCCATGAAGACACTAAGAGAAGTCGATGAGGAACACACGCCCAAGGTATTGACAAGACAGTGGAAGGGTAAACTATGCGCCGTAATCGACATCTCGCACGACAACCCCGTCTACGACCCCAAAGGCCTAGAAGAAGGCGGAATCCCCTACCACAAATTCCCCACCGTATCCAAGCAACCGCCCCAAGCAGCCGAAGTCAACGATTTCTTCGATCTCGTCGATAAGATTCGTGCGGAAGGGAGGCCCGGGTTGATTGGCGTACATTGCCATTATGGGTTCAATCGCACGGGCTTCTTTCTCGTGTCTTATCTGATTGAGAGGTTGGGGTATAGTGTTGAGGATGCGATTGAGACGTTTAAGACAGCGAGGCCGCCGGGGATTAGGCATAGCCATTTTATTGATGCGTTGTATGTTAGGTATTGTCGCGGGTTGAAGAGGGCGCCTACGCTTTAAGTGTAAGGGTTCTTAGAGTGGCGGTTTTGTACAGTATTCTTTCTTTCTCATTGTTTTCGGGATACTAGGGGGGTGTCTGGTAGAGTGGAGTTTGGGAAGCGCGTGCGTTTGGGCGTTTCGTGGATGTTGGGGTGTGGGCATAGTATAGGTATTAGGATCATATCCTTGAATGACATGACATGACATTGGTATGTACTTTGCTTGCTTCGTCGACAAAGTGCTCGTTCCTAATGAGTTGTTTTTTATTGTAAGGTACACATCGCGATGTGTTCCGCAATATAAGATTCTTATGTTGTTCTTAACAAATCTAGATGCAGTAATTCAACTAAGTTGAATACCCAAGTGTATCTCTAATCAATGTGCATTTCTCTCGATTGGAAACGGCATGTAGTACTTGATGGTGTTCATCCTTCGGAGGAGCGTGATAGATATTTGTGGCGGCTTCTCATTTATTCATTCTTAAATCCATACATTGACGGCATTTGACACATCGAGCCTCAAATACTCAACACCAACACAGCCATCATAAAGGTAGGGGAAAGTTCTCGAAACAGTCATGTATTACAGAAGACGGCGGTTTGCTATAAAACCGCCTCTCGCTCCATCGCACCGCTAAACAAACGTGAGAATACCAATCTCACACTCTTCCTCCGTCATTACTCGGCTTGCTTTCTCTTTCTAATAATCACAAGCCGAGTGTCGTTTCGTCAAGATGAGAAAAGAGAAATGTACAACTACAATGATAGTGATATGTCCACACCTTGTAAGCCCAGACCGTCCGACATGTAACAACCTTCGAGATCGTGGTGCCCCTTCCTTTCCTTTCTTTGCAGGACCGGTACGCTCCAACCGTACCTTCATCCTTTCCTCTGCTACCGTGACAACAGTTGTACTCCGTTCCGTCCATCACCATCGATCCCGTTTTGGCGCACTGCTCCGCATGAAGAAGAAAGAGAATCCGCTATGCCGAAGAATGCGTTCGTGAGTAAGAAATAAGAGACTGGGTAAAGACATGGGTTGAAGCGAATGTCGTGAACGCGTTGAGCATCTTGTTTCTTTTTGCACCCAGCCAAGCCATGCTACGATGAGGGGGTGGCTATCCCTTTGCTCCGGTGGGCAAGTCTGTCTGCCTGGTCATGCATGGGTCCAGCACCCCTTGCTGTAGCTCTGCGGAGTTTGGTTTCCGGGCTTGCCCATGGTAAGGCAAGCGACCTTATGATCTTCATGGCTTCTGGTCTTGAGACTGCGGCTCGGGCGTTGACTCCACACCCTCCATAGCGCCAGTGTCTTTGCTTCTTGAGAACGGGCCGCCTTCGGTGGTAGTAGGCGTTCCGAGCCTATCCGTGGGATACTTCTCCAGATCTTTGTGGCTTGTTGAGAATGTCGATATGACAGGCGTGTAGTTCTGGGGGTGATCGGCCTGCGTGGGCGTCTTCGCTTCAGGTCCAGCTGAGATGGGGCTGAGGAGACTCTCAGGCCCGTTGTTGGCTTCAGGTGGCAGCAGTTCGGGCTGAGGTTGTACCGCGCCGACTAGACCATTCAAGCCGCCTTCAATATCGCGCAGCAGGCGGACGTATTCCTCGGGGACAAGCCCGCTCTCGCCAGTCTTTGGGTCTTGGGCTACGAGCCAACCTTGGCCGTGCCTGTATGATACCAATATCACCTGTCCTTCTACCAGCGGCAGCTCGTTGTCATTTTCGCGTGCGAAGTCGAACAGGGCGACGGCCTTGCCGTGCATCTCCTCGTCGGGCGATGCGATGGTGAACTGGTAGTCGCGTGAGAATCGGTTGTCATCGTGGATATAGTCCTCGGGCTCTGACATGTCGTCATCTGAGTCGTAGGGCGGGCCCTCGACATCGGCGTCGGTCTCGGCGTATGCCCGTTGTGGGAGAGTGGTTGCGAAGTGCGAGTCTCGTCGTGAAGCTCCTTCTGGCACACCGAGCCGCGACGACTCGGGTGGAAATGTGATCAACTCACCCCCGGGCCCGTTTGCAGCCTCGTCGCTGACGAACTGGCTGCTCTCGCCGTTCATAGGCAGTATTGAGCCCCGCCGTTGCTCTTCGGGGTATCCTCTCCGCCCACGAGTGTGGTCGAAATTGACAATGTTGGACTTGTGTTTCTTATGCCGCGCGCCATGGTGGCTTGTGACTACCGGACTGGAGATGTCGTCGTCCTCGCTGTAGGGCGGGCCGCCGTCGTATGCTGTCTGTGGGAGCTGCTCGCCGTTCTCGTCCCAGGACCCCGCGGACCAACCGCCTCGGTCGCTTCGCCATGCCACGGGTGGCGGGTCCGAGAGTCTCCGGCTGTGTTCGCTGGCCGGTGTCGAGATGTCGGAAGGTTGTTCCGGGAGGGGGCCGTAGAAGAGCGGGTGCAGCGGGTCGTAGGCAAAGTCGCGCACGAGCGAGTAGGGCAGACTCGAGTGGAAGATGGGGAAGGCAGTCGACTGCGGCCTGGAGCGGACGGACTGGTGTGTGTTGGACGTGTTGGAGAAGGTCGAGAGTCGCTTGTTCATGTAGGAGCTGGCGCGCTCGAGCTTCGCCTTGGATGGCGGGGAAGTGACGAGCGGCGGGAGGGAGGTGCGATTGACCCCGACTTGCGCCGATGCGCCCGGGTCGCTCCTGGGTGATAAGACATCGGCCGCCATGTCTTGCTCGCTGTGGTATCCGCGGACAGCCACTCCTTCTGTAATGTTCTTCAGCCGCTGCGAGTCGGCGGCCGTCTCTGGTGCGGAATTGGCGTCTGTCATGCGGTAGATTGCGTGAACAGACAGGTCGGGCGTCGGCGGTAACTATATGGAGTTTTGAAGCGCGGTCGAGGGCAGTGCGGGTCGCAGAGTAGGATGCGACGCAGCTAGTGCAGTACAGTCTTCAGTATTCAGTATGCGGTATGCAGTACTCGGGAAACTGCCGCGGGAGCAGAGACGGGCTCCAGGTGGCCAGCGCACAAGGCGCACAAGCAGCGTTCGAATCAGCGCGACGTGGACTGGCGACGGCAGATGGCGCAGTGACTCGATGTTTGTGTCGGATGTTTCGAGGCGACAGTGACCAATGGCCCGGCGGCGCGCTTCAGGCCTTCTGGAAGCAGCACGTCGGCTGTGCAGGTGCGCCTGGCGATTGGGAGTGCGCGGCGGGCGTGAAGATATTTCCACTGGAGAGCGGCTGGAGAAGCGCTCGCTGGGGGTTGTGGGGGTCAGGCCTGGCGCTAACACTCGCCCAGTGAACGGTTGATGAGGTGCGCACCCGAGGGCCAACGTGGTGGCTTCGAGGGTTCCGTGCAGGAGGGGAACGGCAACAGTGCGGCTAAGGGGCGACGCGACTATGGCGAGGCCTCTGGCGGCTTCTGGATGCTGTGTAGACCAGCGCGCGCGTGGTGGTGATGGCCAACTCTATTTTTGGCACCAGGCGGCGGGGAGTGCTAGATGCCAAAGTGTTTCAGGATACTTGACAGCGCCGCCAGTGGGCAGGGCATGAAATGTATTTGTGCGATTGTCGATATCAAGCAGAAGTAGCGAGTCAAGAGGCCTCGAGACAGCCTTGCTGGCATCAACGAGGGGTGTGTGTTCTGACGGCTCTTCCTTTCCATGATTGCAAACCCCATCAATGCATGCTTAGGCTACTTTCACCTTAGTAGGCGTTTCAGGTCATCGCCTAGCTGCATGGGGACTGCGCGCGCACCGCTGGTCGAATGCGCTGCCAGGCCCGCGAGCATCTTCCTTGGGCCGTCTTCACCGCGTCCTGTCACGAGGGCAAACACATCATAGTCGACTCGGATATCATTCCTTTCGCCATGCCATGGTCCTCTCCCGACCACATTCCCCAGACCACGGCGCTGTGTGACAGGTGCGTTTGAGCCGGGTTACCTAGGCGTCCCGTTTGGGTATACAGTATGCTTGCGCAATTGCATCACGTCACCGCGATCGCTTTTAATGAAGGCGATCTCCCTATACGAGATATGCTATGTCCAAGCGCTTCAGGAACAGGTAAGAGTCTGTTCCAAGATTCTCGATATGAAGCATCGCGACCAGCCCCTCCATTTCGAGGTGCCCAGGTGTTCGGCGCCCCGCGTAATCTTTCAGCCGAGCTTAGTCAGCCGCTAAGCAGACTATGACCTGCCTGAGCTCGAGCTTGACAAAGATTCAACCTCACAGGCCTCGTGCCTTTCACAACCACCACCACTTCTACCACTTACTCATAGGCGTCTCTCTATGTATGAGACTATGAGCTTGAGTATCTACCTTTAATACTGTAAGTTGCTCTCTCCGTGTGCCCCCGTGCCCTGCCCTTGAGATGATGAACCCATATTGGAGCTGTCCTAGGCAATTCGCAGGAATTACCTCGGATGTCGTTGAGGACTCACAATTAACGCTGAAAATTCTGATCTCTCGTGAACCTTGTTATGATTGCTGTCTATAATTGCGTCGAACCATAACTAACGTTTGTGAAGAAATTGCAGAGCTGTCCGCAGACGCGCCAGCACCTGTCCCACCACTCCTTCCACACCGTCCCATCACACCTCCCGCACCACGACCCGACCCCGCCGAATATGGACGCCCCTGCCGACCCACGACTGCGCGCCAGGCAGCAGGCTGCCGCCGCAGCACCTCCACCACCCCCGCCGCCGCCAGCTGAGCCCGCTTCCATGGGCATGGACGGCGCCAGCGACGCGCACGCAGAGCAGAACATGGTACCCGACGATAGCTTCAAGCTCAAGTTCTGCACTGTGTGTGCGAGTAACCAGAACCGGTATGTCATTCGCTGATCCGCAGGCCAATCAAATCGCTAACTTGGCTAGCTCCATGGAAGCTCATCTTCAGCTTGCCTCAGCCCATCTCCCTACCATTAGCTTTGGCACTGGCTCGCTCGTCCGTCTACCCGGTCCGACCATCACGCAGCCCAACGTCTACAATTTCAACAGCACCACCTACCGTGCCATCCACGATGAGCTTGCCGGTCAGAACACTGCGCTCTACACCCACAACGGCCTGCTTAACATGCTCGGTC